TCTTGTTCGATTGAAGAACAAAGATATCTCCGATGTCTCGATTGGATGATCAGCGGTGGTAGCACCGTGCGGAAAAAACAGAACTCACGTTATTACCTTGCTTGGTTTTCCCGGCAACAAGCTTATCCAGCATCAAACCAGTCAGTAAGGCCCAAAACAAAGAACCCACTTGGAACCAGGAATACACGTCCGTATACGTACTTACTGTAATATAATTTGAATTCAATAAAACATTCATTCAGTTGCTTCTTGCGTTAAGGTGGTTGATCACTGTAGACATCAGAAAAAATTAAATAGATAGAGAAAGATAGGTAATGAAAACATAAGTATAATGAAATTACCTTTGTTTTTGATATTGTTTCCGTAGTAATTGATCATCGTGTAAAAAGAACCTTGATATGTAATAATAAGAGTTTCCTGACACAAATACCACAGCATCAGTATCCAAAATGTAGGGTTTTTGAGAATCACTAGCGTGTCACCCAGTGAACCAGATGCAGTGCTTTTGGCATCTTTGCTTACTGAGTTTTCTCCTTTGCACGCCATCTGCTTACTTCCGTCAACACGTGTTTCTTTCTGATCGGTTTTGTTCTTCTGTTGATAGCAGGGAAAATAACTAGCAGTTTGGTGGCCGGAGATTTCATCCTTGTCCTCCCTGGCTTCCTCCTCTTTTGCTTTAGCGTTGCCTGTCAAAACTGTGATGACCCTTTTTGTGGAGTGAATACCAGTGGTTTTTTGGTGTACGGAACTGTCAGTTTCCGTGTTCGGCCCGATGCTTACATCATCGGGTGTGTATGCTTCATTTGACCGCGCTTGTTCCAAAATACAATGATGATCAGACGTCTCATTTGTTGCAGGTTCTTTCACGTCAGATTGGTTGGCATTTTTGCATATACTACTAGTGTTCCGTTTACATGCTTCTTTAGTGCCGCTGTGTCGTTTGCAAATTTTGAAACAACAAGCTATGTCAATGTTCTTTCCGTCCTCATCCTGTCTAGGTGGAAGGGTGTTTGTGTTGACAGAAGACAAAAGAAGTATGATACCGGTAAAGGTGAACATGCACGTTTTGTACGAAATTCCTGCCTGGTAGGCCAACTAGAATTAAATGAATTTTTGGTGAAATTTGAAAGCTTAGACGAACGCCGATATGCAATATAAAAGGTATCATTCTATGATACCACCCCAGGTATTGTTAATGTTTTTTACTTTAAGGAAGAATGCTTTTAGTTTTTCAGAACGGTTTCTGTGAATATAGGTATAACTGGCTAAATTTAATTTGTTAATAAAGTTGTTTAACCCTACAAAACAACATTTGTATAAGTGCTTCAGGCTTCAAAACGCTCATTAGACAAATAGCACACAATAATTCACACGCACACAAAATGAATGCATTACCTTTATCAGAATAGGAGCGAAAGCACTGACGTCTGCGGCACCGGCAATAAGACATATAAGTGTTGCCTTTAGCTTAGGAAATAGTCCAGCCACTTGGATGTCAGTTATTGCCAACTGGAGCCCCCCAATCTGGTGGAATACTGCCCCAGGGAATAACAGCCACTCTGTTCCTATAAAAATTAAATTATGTCAATGTGTCCATGCGGCCATATAGGATTCTACATGTTTCCCTTGTTTTTTTTTTCAGGACTGATAGCACGATGCTTCAGATACTACAAGAAAATGCAGGATGAAAAGATAAACTCAGTTGCAATTTTGTTCTGATTTACCCCAGAATTATTTAGTATGGCTCTTGCTTTCTTCATAATATGAAGAGGAAATATGCATGGATAAATAAATTAATTGTATCATGGTCTGCAAAGTGGAGCAAATATGCAGTACATTGTGGCAGACGATTTCTACCATACAATATAATGAAAAAAGGGTAAGGAGAAATTCTTCTCGTTCCCCATCTCATTGTTTGAACATTAAAGTAGCATTAATGTAATCTTATCTCTAGGCATCATACGCAGGTTCTTAATACTGAATACTTAAATTATCAAGAGTATAAGACATCATTCATCCCAATTTATGTTTTTTTTTCTGATTTCATCATTACTGGCATGGGGTGCTTTTTACACATATTGTGACGAGTATAATATTTCAATTATGTATCGCTAGAATCAGTTTTGTAACATTAACTTACCTCTCTCAGCTAATGCCATCAGTAAAAATCCACCGGCGCACATGCATCTTAAAGGAAATGAGAAGATTTAACCAATCGTTACGGCATCCCTTGAACTAACCACTCGATTCCCTTAAGATTCTTTTTAGGCTTTTTGTGATTGGTGATCTATCCCTATAGTTCGGCAAGTAATTTTCGTCAGCTGCGCATTGGCCATTAATACAGCCATTCCAGAAAAGGGTTACCAAAATGACCGAAATGCTTACCGTAGCTTATAAGTAATTAAGGCGTGTGGGATTTAACATTTAAGGTTTTTACATCAGGATGCCATGGGTTCCACATAAAACTGCATACAAATAAAAATAAATTAAAAAAAATAAATTAAATAAAAAACACGGTAGCGATCACCTGTCAAAGAACCTCCAGCATCTATAGTCACCTAATGCACAATTTCTACTTGCCGTTTTAGCAAAATAGAGTCTATTATGCAACTTTATGTAATATTTTGCATTTAAATGGACATATATACCCGGTATATATATATATATATATATATAGAGAGAGAGAGAGAGAGAGAGAAAGAGAGAGAGAGAGAGAGAGAGGTGGGCAATGACAGGACGAATCAGCCCCGCTAATTGCTGTACTCACAGTATACTTACATAGATAGGATTCTCACACAAACCGTCCCACAGTGATCATAGATATAACCAAGTGCTAAGACAGCCACAAAACCGACCATGGCAACCGTGTAAACCAGGTTCAGCATCTCTTCCTGCTCAGTGCACTTTTGAACGAGGCTGTCTTCGACCGTTTCTCGTGTGCAATTACCGTGGAGCATACAAGCATGATCCGCGGTGATAATGCTAGCATTGATTGCAGAATTAAGATGGCAAAGAGAATAGTAAAACTTTTCCTCTATGAATAAATACACATATGCTGGCCACCCAAAGAAGGTTGCTGAGTAGAGAGCAGTCTCTAGGATACCAAGTATGGCACAGAATAGTTTCCAACACGTGGATTGTGCCATGCTGCCCGACGCAAATTGGATGCTAGTGAGTAAATATCTTAACTTGGAATGCACCCACTTTACTTATAGTCACTCAGGCACTTGATAATAAGATGTACGTATCACTCGATGTCTTTGCTATACTGTTGTATGTACCCTGTCGTGTGGTCATATTTCACACTACTCCTTTTGGTTGGCTATTAGGTCTTATATGTTAATTGAGTCACTTGAATGCGCAATTACTCCTTTGTGTGATATTAATTGCCAATTCAACAGAGATTTGTGCCATTAAAACGAAATGGTTCTACAAACTGCTGTTAGGGACGACGTAAAGCATTCTATCCTCCACTTTAATGACAGACATGCATGACAAATAACATGGTGTCTCCGGCTTTAATTATATGAACACACAAACTTAACTACAGCAGTTCTGTAACTATAATTATACTAACTATAACAAACTACACAGTCCTGTATGCTTCCTAGCATCCCGTTAATTAATTATTATTATTATTATTTTTTTTGCATTTTAGCAGAAGAAAACATCAATGTCTTAAGGTCTATTTGTTTCCTTGAAACATACATACACCAAATTACATATATTTGATATTTGGTTAATGTAATTGCGGACATTTCTGGTGGAAACCAAGCGAATTTATGTATAATTCTCAAGAGGGTAGCAAATAAAACGGTGCATATCTTGAAACATTCAAATAATTAGATGTAAACAAATGTTTATGAGCTGGTGCCTATACACGTACACGTACTAGTGTGTATCTCAGAAATACTCGCCGTAAGCATGTTTAGACGTAGTTCGGATAAGTTTGCTTAATTTTCTAATCATCAACAAATAATATGTGCCTGTATATAAATGTAGTTTTCGATTGAGGGTAGGTTACATTTACCAGGCAGTTCCATGATTTGAACGTCTTGGTGAAGAGGTGTTCTCTGTGGCAAGCTAAGGGTCAGCAACCTCTAAACCACGCGTCTTGTCCGAAGACGCTTGATGTACCCTGAAGCCATTGCTACTCCTGTCCTGACTGGGAATTTAAAGTGTGTAACTGTAAGACCTCGTGGAGCGACACCGACGCCAAAGGAGGTAGAAAGGCAAACAGCTGGCGGTGAGACAAATTCCAAGGAGCAATACTCCCAACTGGAAAAATTAAACAAAATTTTTATCACGCCGAGTTGTTTACATTGTCGCACTATAAATCAAAGTATTCGTGAAAATAGATATTTTCAAACGATCGGAAATCAACCGGTACTTGGGAAAGTAAAGTGATTCCACTGTGGGGTTTGTGTGGTTTATTTTTATTGTGAAGCGCGCCGCCATCTGCCCGTTTACAGGTAATCACAGCTGTTCCGCACTATCCAGAAAGCCTGAACTGATTGGATAATAATAAGTGATAAAGATTCGACCACACACTAAAGACCTTATGGCATTTGATTCTATATTACGTGATCTAATAGAATGTAACGGTTCTCATACGTACCCAGAGTGGATCACTTTCCAGGCTGTACTTATACCAGGCGAATATTGGTAGTTCAATAAAGGTGAACAAACACCCGACACCAACTTGTATTCCGTAGGTCTTCCCGAAATGTTCCTTTGGAAACCTATAATTTAAATTTTTGATGCCATAGGTCAGTCATACATCTGTCATACATCTGTACTGTGTAGGGCGTGCTTTGCGTTGATGTCTTTCTACAAAGTAGCTCTCGCTCTCTCTCTCTCTCTCTCTCTCTCTCTCTCTAGACATACGTGCGTGATTCTTTATAATATGACCCTAGAATTTGGGCCACCAATTCGATTTTCTAAAACAAAGAAGCCTATAGGCGGAAATACATGCGCGCAGACTGTGTCACCAAATCTACTTACGCTATTGCTACATATGCCATATGCACGGCATAACTCCCGGTTTTCAACATAGAATGAAACATAATGGCCACAAACTGCATCTCGATAAACGGGATGATGCATGCAATGGAGGCGATGAATCCGGCCAAAACTGTGAGGAAAAATGGAACCACGAAGCATCGCTCTTTGTCTGAAATATACATGTATGATGGTATCAGTACGTGGACCATATACTCGCTTCTCCAATATGCTTCTATCATGCTGCTAATCTACTGCATTAATGCTCCTCTCTGTACAAACCTATGTACTTTTTGGTACTTTTTGGAGTAAAATTGCAGTAGGCTATACTGCATTTCTACTGCAAATATGCTCCACACCACTACTGCGTTAATTCTTCTTTGCTACTTCGATACTACTGCATTTTCGTGCGGGATCCGCTACGGAATTTTGTCTCATTAAAGCTCCCTTACTTTTCTCAATCTGCCCTAGCTATAACAAAATATTTCTCTCTTTTAAAGCAATAATAACTCTTCGTTTCGGCAAAAAAATGAATTTTACTGGAGTAAACAACAATTTTCCCATACTTACCAATGGTTAATGAATCCATTTTTACATTCAAAGTTAGTCCCTGGTTTTTTTCTAAAAAGTTTGGTTTTTTGTTAAAATCTCTTAAGAGATTTTAACAGAGTATAGACATCAATGGAGGTCACATGGTCTAAAGACAAGTTCAGATATCAGAATAAAAGCTATAACTGCTGTTTTTGTGGTAAAACAGAATATATTATATTTGTATGAGTTATTCACAAGGTTTTTATTGTGAAATATAGATCTCATACGAAGAGTTATTATCCCTTTAATTACTTACATTTTTCTAGGACATTCTGAAGGACTTTCCAAAATCAGTTCTCGAACTGTTACATTCATTGCAGAACAAATGTAAGAACTGTAAAAAAATACACCAAATGTTCGACAATAGATTGAAAACCATTTGTGAACGTTAATGCAGAAGGGATCCGTTGCAGATATAACCCTAAAATTGAAAGAAACCATACTTATAGGAGAGAACACTTCTCCATGATAGAAAGCGTATATATGATCGGTATATAATCGTTAAAAAAGAAACACGTCACTCTTCGACCAATTAATATTACATTCATGTTAATTACCGTCTGTGGTTGCCCTGGAAACAAGTTTGTCCAACATCAAACCAGTCAGCAAAGCCCAAAACAGAGAACCCATTTGGAACCAGGAATACACGTCCGTATACGTACTAACTGTAATGCAATAATGGTTCAGTGAAATAGATTTTTGCTGTTTTTTGTGTTATGATAGTGAAAAGTAAAGGACGTATGCATTCCATTTTAAAAATGCTTATGAAGCAAACCAGTTACAATGATAATATCCAAGTAAATCAATTACCTTTATTTTTGACATTATTTCCATAGTAATTGATCATAGAGTAAAAACTGCCTTGATAAGTGACAATGATTGTATTTTGGCACAAAAACCACAGCATCAACACCCAAAATGCTGGGAGTTTGAGGATCAGTAGCGTGTCATGTAGAAAGCAGTTGTTAGCACTTTCGCCATTTTCCTTGCTTAGAGAGTTTTCTATTTCGCACGATATCTGCTCAATTCCGTCGACTTGCATTTGTGTATGATTGATATTATTTTTATTTTGACAACTGGTGCCATTATTAAAATCATGATGACCAATAATGCCATCGTTTTTTTCCCGAGTTACATCTCCATCTGGTTTCACTTTACTTGTTACCTCTGGAGTGACATTTCCAGTGGAACGAATACCACATTTTGGTTCTGTGCTTACATCATCAGGTATGTATGCTACGTTTTTCCAACCTTGCTCTAAAGCCTGATGACCTTTATGCTTCTCGTTTGCTTTAGGTACATATTTGGCGTTTGTACAAGTGCTGGTGTATGGTTTAGACGGTTCTTTGGTTGCGCTTTGGCTTTTGAGTATTTTAAAACAACAAGCTATGTCAATATTATTTCCGTCGTCATCCTGTCTAGGTGGAAGGGTGATTGTGTTGACAGAAGATATAACAAGTATGATTCCGGCAAAGGTGAACATGCTCGTTTTATACGAAACTCCGGTCTGGTAGGCCATCTGCAATTTGTTAAAAAAATGTGACATTAAAAATCTAGTTTATTCAAAGAAAGATATATTCAAAACTGCAGAATTTCAAATTAGTAGGAGTTTCATACATTATGAAGACCGCGTAGTCGTAGATGCCAACAACAGCAATGATATGAATGATAAAAAGTAATATTTTTATAGGGGGTTTATTAAAAAAAAAAGTCTTTCATGAAAGCTACTTTTCTTTCCATAGAAAACTTTCCGCAACTGTTATTTTTCACTAGATATATTAGGTTGTACCATATCAAAGCAGTAATTACCGATGTGTTCGTCGAGTTTTAGAACATTTCTGCGACAATTAGCATACACGCATATACATGAATTACCTTTAACAGAATAGGAGCAAAACCACTGACGTCTGCGGCACCGGAAACCAGACATATGAGTGTTGCCTTTAGCTTAGGAAATAATCCGGCCACTTGGACGTCAGTTATGTCCAACTGGACGCCTCCCATCATGTGGAATGCAGCCCCAGGAAATAACAGCCATTCTGTTCCTATGAAAATGTTAAATGCCCCAATCGTGATTATTGGCCCAATTTTTTGGTCTGCATTGTCCCGGAATTAATACTTTAATAACTTCATTTGGATTTTCTGGTCATTATTTACAGTTTATTTATAAGAACTGCAGCTAAATTTGAAAAATCTATAACCCTGAGAAATGGAGTGTTTCCCTGGTCATGTATGAGGCTCTCTGCCATTTGGAATGTTTATTTTTTTGTAGTAATCTTTGCAAGCATGTGTATTACCTCACGCTGATTGCTTTGATTGATTTAGAATATTTCCAATGGATATCATGATAAATATTTTATATTCTCTTACCTCTCTCAGCTAATGCCATCAGGAAGAATCCACCAGCACACAGAAATCTTTTTGAAAAAATATAAACTTTATAACCAAACTATTCTTATGACCAATACATCGCACAAAATTAGCATTTTATTTGGCCACTATAACCTGTCAACTTCTTTCGAAGGCATAACATCAATGAAGCGGCCATAGTATTTATCAATTTTTTGTAGGTGTTATTTTGGTCCCATTTATCCTGCAAGCACAGGGTTTTCCGATTGAATAGTTGCAGCTTTGATAAAACACAAAATATATATATTTTTTCAGATATATTTCTATATTTTATATATATCTTATATACTTTATATAATATTAAACTCAGACAGCAAGATGCAGGTGTCTTCGTATCGCATGTTATCACAGTCGTTCGTTCATCCCGTAGCAACCAACAATAAATACCAGCAAATCAGTAGATGTAGAATTACTGGTAGGTGCACGAAAAAATTCTTTATAGGTACTTTGATGATAAAAAATCTAGTCTGTGTACTTAAGCGACAGCTAAAATCAGAACCATTCCCACTACAATGTCACAATATCTCACATGACACCGTTGCAGGCTGTGAGGTTACCCGAGTCATCTCTGACGCCTGTATATACATGAAAGAATGTAGTGAACCCTCTTCCCTTTCGTCAGTTATATATAAGACATGGCATATATAAGACAGACAAATGTCAGATAGGCTTTGTCCTTTATGTTTAGACTTGCTCGTTTGGCCTTTAGTTACAGCTTCCGGGACTTTGAGGGGCTGATATCTAGGTTCTGTCTGTCTCTCGGATATGGCCTCTACACATTTCTGTGGAGTTACATTGAGTAGGGGACGGGAGGAAACGTACTCATAGATAGAGGTTACCACGAAACATAAATGTTTACCCTTATTCGTCTTTTCAGGTGAAACTGGACTAGTAATAATTCTGATTTTAGCTGTTGTTAAATAATCTATTGCCTCAAGTTCGTGCATTTGAAGAACAATGTGGACAGACTGTGAAGACGGGGCCGTAGCGATAGTCCGAAGGTTCAATAGTCCGAAGGTTCATAGGTCCGAATGTTCACTATAGAACCTTCGGACCAATGAACCCTTGATTAAAAAATCGATAAAAATGTTACCACTTTTCGGACCAATGAACCTTCGGACTAATGAACCTTCGGACTATCGAGACGCCCCCGTGAAGACAACGGATAAAAACTTCACGCTATAATTATAACACCAGTCACCTTAAACGTATCAGCTGTGTAGTGATGTACTTACATGGATAGGATCCTCACACAAACTGTCCCGCAGTGATCATAGATATACCCCAACACGGGAAGAGACGCTGAGCAGATTATAGCGACGGTGTAAACAAGATTTAGCATCTCTTCTTGCTCATTGCACTTTTTAACGTGATCTGCATCATGTTCTTCTGTACAATTCCCCAGAACAGTACAGGCATGTTCTACCGTGTCAATGCTAGCATTCACTCTGGGATCAAAGTGACAACGGGAGTAGTAAAATTTTTCCTCGATGAATATATACACAAATGCTGGCCATCCGAATAACGTAAAAGAGTAAACCGCCGCTTCTAAGATTCCGAAGGCAGTGCAGAATAATTTCCAACACGTTGTTCGTGTCATGCCGTTTGTCGTGGATTAACGCTAATTACGCAAAGTTAATAGTGACTCAGGTATACATACACAAGAGCATTAGTTTGATTTGATATTTTACCCATTGGTAAACTAGTCACACCTGTGTTGAGATTAAAAAACCGAATGATGATGCAAGGTGCTATAACGGATGACGTAAAAATGCTTATTTTCAGAATAATGATTGGTCTCTTACCTGTACAACGTAAGTCTATAGTGAATGAAATGCTGACTCTGGCGTAAGCTCCATACAGTCAAACACCGTGAAGCAGTGGATAACACATTTATTCCAGCTGATATTTACCCTTGTCAGTAATTCAATACCGCCTGCATCACACAAAAGAAGCGGTTCATATCAATACAAAATGAGGGGGTGAAGGGATTACAGCTCACTAGAATCGGATCATTAATTTACAAAACGCAAATAAAGCTATATATTCGAAGGGGAAGAATAAAAAGCCGTATTCACCAGTCACAAAAATGGGGTGCATTACGGATCACCTGAATAATATGAACATTTCACGTTTGTGAGGGTAACCATTTATACCTCATCGTCGCCTCATACATATGGCCCTGACGTGTTTTATTTCACTTACTTTGATACACACGCTCTGTATAACATTGTGGGATTCTCAGGCTGAATAGATTTCTGTAGGTGTAAGCATATTTATCTGCTGATGCATTACGTTTAATAGAACAGGGACAAAACCCTTGGCGTCTGCGGCACCGGAAATCAAACAGGTGATCATTGGTTGTGTCTTGGCAAATAGGGCGTCATTTTGTTATTTCCCCCCTCTAGTTGGTGCAATGGGAATAGCAGCCGTCTATAGTTCCGGTTAAGGTTGAAAATCTTCCATGTGTCTTCATTAAACCCCCAATGTTTCGATCTGGTTCTGCAATACTTTGATAATTTCATTTTGGATTTCTTGGCTTTGTGCACTGTTATTTTATTTGCAAATTTAATAACCAAGAAAAAGTAATGTTTTTTAACTTGTATATTTAGTGTAACAGATTGTTTAGAATAATCACCTTTTTCTATCTGTGCGTGAGTGTGTGACATTCGATTTTCAAGTCACTGCTTACTGGGTACTTTCCTAGGTAGTTGCGATCTCTGATATTGGGCCCAAATCGAATTGTCCTCGAAAAATGAACAAATATCCCCACTCAATGGCCTTTAATTGACCAGTCCCCGAAGGCGTGTTCCATGTTTTATAAAACTGATGGTTAATTAACATAGTACATCGCTATCATTACTTCAACAAAAGATTCTGTTTTCTGTTGAACCATGTACTTGAACAAAATGAAACGTTTTGACAATTTTTCTGGGGTACATACGTTGCGTAGTATTAGGCATGACGCAAAGCCCCCTGTGCACGTTTAAATATTTGTAAAAAAATCATTATGTAATGTATAAATGACCCGGAACATCCGTTACCATACGTTACCATGTAGGACTCTTTGCGTAATGTAAAGAAATAGTGAAAATAAAAATAAAAATTTAAATTGAGACTCGTGGATTTTTGTTCTATACACATATATGTTAAAGACTGAATATAACTATGAATCCATTCAATTTAAGTTTTGGACACTTCAGCATGTGGTTTGGGTGTGCAGTCGAGATTAGCGTAGCCAAAGACGGGTCTCTCCTCTCTTATAGAACCGGACGAAAGTAGTCCTCTGAGTCTCGCGTAAGTTGATCAGAATTTAAAATGATGGGTATATATTTTTTCTGTCGGAAGGCAGTAAGAAATGGAAGAAAGATCAACAGCGATTATTTGGAAGACTGTAAAAAAATATCCGTGAGTCTGTTCCTGTAGGTGTATATACATGTAGTTCCCGATTTACATGTAGGAGAGGTTACATTAACCGGGCAGTATACTTCCAAATTAGTTGAACGTCTTGGTTTAAACTGTATTCTCATGGTACAGGAGTATATGTAGCAGAACACTCGTCTTGTCTGGAGGGGCTGCAGCCATTCTGTCTCACGTGCTGGCTAGAACTTTAAAGCGTGTAGCTGTTAGACCTCGTGGAGCGACACCGACTCCAAAGAAGGTAAAAAGGCAAACAGCTGGCGGTGAGACATATTCCCAGGAACAGTACTCCCAACTGTGAAAATTAAATAAAAGATATATATTTACCACGCCGAGTTTTCATCATTATCACACATCAGTCAAAGTATCCAAACCGTTATAATTCCGTGATATTAGATTTTTCCCAAATAGTCGGAAGTCAACTGTAAGGTAGAAAAAGTAATGTAAACACACTGTTTGCTTTGCGGTTGTTCGTGATTTGCATTGTGTCGCCATCTGGAGATTTAATTGCAGCTATTCTGCAAAACCTCGAAAAGCCTAAGATGATTGAATAATATTTAGTGATAAATATTCGACCACACATCCAAGAGCCTAATTTATGTAACTCTATATTACCCGATCTATTACAATAACAGTTCCTAAACATACCCAGAATGGGTCACTTTCCAGGCTGTATTTATACCAGGCGAATATTGGATATTCAATAAAGGTGAACAAAAATCCGATACCAATTTGTATTCCATAGGTCTTCCCAAAATGTTCCTTTGGAAACCTACAATTTGAATGTTTTGATGTAATATATATTTGTAAACTAGTCTTATATGTTGATTGAGTCACTGTAATGCGTAATTATGCCTTTGTGTGATGTTCATTGCTAATTCAACCAGGGTCTTGTGCCATGAAAATGAAATGGTTCTGCAAATTGTTATTAGGGACAAAGAAGCTTATAGGAAAGGTGGAAATACATGTTAATAGACTGTGTTATAACATCTATACTTACGTGGAGGCTATATATGCCAAATGGGAGGCATAACTCCCGGTTTTCAACATAGAATGAAACAAAATGGCCACAAACTGCATCTCAATAATGGGGATGATGCACGCAATGGAGGCGATTAGTCCTGCCAAAACTGTGATGAAAAATGGAACCACGAAGCACCGCTCTTTGTCTGAAATATATAATGGTATCAGTACGTGAATCATGCATGTACTTCTCCAATACCATGTGTATACATTACAAGTATATCACATTTTTTAATAATATTAAGATAATCGGTATTATATATTACTCATAAATGGTTAACAATTGTCAGGGAATACAGATGTACTTTCTCTCTATATGAAGAGAGTCATTTCCGTTGCCGTCCAACGAAAATTATGAAATATTCAAAGTCATTTCTCCCATTATATTGTGTAGGCGGGTCGATTCTGTGTGATCTAAAATGCATAGAGACTACGATTCAAGAACAAAAGAAGTCACTGTTGTCTCAGAGGGTCTATGATATAGCATGGCATTTCAACTTTGATGCAGTTCATTTCTTTCAAAGTTAAATGACTACGATTCTATTCTGACATCGGTCTAAATTGCATTTGTTGGATATATTGATATTAAATATTGAAGTATTCTTTAGACAGCGACAGCTCACAAAGCCATGGCCACACATGTACAAAAGAGCCACAGAAGCTGCTATTATAAAATGGTAACGATACATGTTGAACACCCTTTGCAGCTAAAACCTATAATTAACTAAAATCCAATGAAACCAACTAATATTTATACGTATACGAGGAAACAGTTGCCGTTAATCGAAAGCACATATATGATCTTAATTACCATCCGCGGTTGCTCTGGAAACAAGTTTGTCCAACATCAAACCGTTCAGCAAGGCCCAGATCAGAGGACCCACTTGGAACCAGGAATACACGTCCGTATACGTACTTACTGAAATGTAATTAGAAATATGAATATATTTGTGTTGTGTTTTGTGTAAAGATGGTGGAAACCAAGCGACATGAAGGAGATAGGAAGGGATACGTGCGTTACACGTTAAAAAAGTTTATGCAGCAAATTGGTTACAGTGATAATAAATCAATTACCTTTATCTTTGACATTATTTCCATAGTAATTGATAATTGCATAAAAACTGCCTTGATATGTGACAATGAGGGTATTTTGGCACAGAAACCACAGCATTAGCATCCAAAAAGAGGGTCTTTTGATAATCAGTAACGTGTCATGTAGAAAACAGTTGTTAGCACTTTCGCCATTTTCCTTGCCTGGAGAGTTTTCTATTGTGCATGATATCTGCCCAATTCCATCAACGCGCATTTCTGTATGATTGGTATTATTCTCATGTTGACAAATAGTGCCTTGACAAATAATTTCATCAGCTTTTTCCCGAGTGACATCTCCATCTGCTTTCTCTTTACTTGCTAACTCTGGAGTGGCACTTCCGATGGAAGGAACACCACACTTTGGTTCTGTGCTTACATCATCAGGCATGTATGCTGCGTTTGACCAACCTTGCTCTAAAACCTGCTGACCACTTTGCCTCTCATTTGCTGTAGGTACATGATCAGCGTTTGTACAAGTGCTGGTGTTCGGTTTAGACGATTCTGTTTTGCCTCTTTGCCGCTTGCGTATCTTAAAACAACAGGCGATGTCAATGTTGTTCCCGTCGTCATCCTGTCTAGGTGGTAGGGTGAATGTGTTGACAGAAGACAGAAAAAGTATCACACCGGCAAAGGTGAACATGAACGTTTTGTACGACACCCCTGCCTGGTACGTCAGCTGAAATATATTTTAAAAATGTAGTGTACAGTATTCGAAGACACGAACGCTCAAAAATGTGGCATTCCAAACGAGTTGGTGTTTTACTTATCATGAGGACTGATTAGATGCCAACATATTCACTGGCATGAATGATAAAAATGTATTATTTTTACTACTTTCAACGGCATTATGGAGACTTTTATTTTGAAAAATCTTCCGTGAAGTGTAATTTTCTTTTCATAGAATAGTATCTGTAACTACTAGTTGGCACTAGATATATTAGTTTGTGCCATATCAAACGATCAATTAATNATCGTTATCCACGTTACGTGTAAGGCACTCACAATTACAAAAAAATGTGATTCGTGTAAAGAAAAAGTGAGGTACGTCTCAAAGAATAATAGTTCATATTTATAGACATTAATTGTAGTGCAAGAGAAGGAAACAAAATAAACACGGAGAGCGACTCTTTGGCGTGTAATTCAGTTGTACAAACATGAGTCTAGATGCTGACAACCTGTCATTAAGTGATTATTTATCATATTTGAAAAGAAAATGAGGTGTCGCATTTTTTAACTTACGCAATTTAAAAACAGAACTAGTTAGCATAAGAAAGGTTGAAGTGTTAAAATCTATTTATTCATTTTTTAAAGAATCCACTTGGGACATTCACGAATAAATGTGAGCGGGATATTTGGTTAGACACACAATGCAATGTCCAGAATTATTTCTCTTCAAATTGATAAGCTGTTCAGTTCTACAGGTAGTCAGCCACAGAGCAATTGTTTCAACAAGGGTTGGTTTCACGAAAAAACTTTAGCCCCTAAAGTGGTCTAAACTTCTTGATGAAAAATCTTGTCTATGAATTTAAAAAGAATGCATTGTAGTCCAGTGGTATATTTCTTTTGAGAAAAAAACTTCAACGTAATGAGAAGTGCCATGCATACGGACGCTAAAAAAACACTGTTACTCGAAAAGGTATAAATAGCGTGCATAGTCATGATCAGCACCCGCAAGAAAACGCAGTAGATACTCCAGCGCAGTAGACTACTGTAATCATACTGCAAACATGCTTCAAATCTGCTTCGATGTGGGAGCTAATTAGCATATTTGAAACATGCTTCTATCATGCTGCTAATCTACTGCATTAATGCTCCTCTCTGTACAAACCTATGTACTTTTTGGAGTAGAATTGCAGTAGGCTATGCTGCATTTCTACTGCAAATATGCTCCACACCACTACTGCGTTAATGCTTTTTTGCTACTTCGATACTACTGCATTTTCGTGCGGGCAACCACAACGAATTTCGA